GTATGAATTCTATAAAAAATTTGACTGGAGAAGAAGAAGAAGAAGAAAAGAAAAAAAAAATGGGAGTGGGGTTCAATTTGACATGGGGTGGGAGGTGAAGAAAAAGAAAGAAAATGGAGGATGAATCACTTGAAAGTGGGAGGTGGAAGATGAAGTGAAATTTAAGATAAATCAAAATTAAAAGTCAAAAAGAGAGAGAGAGAAAGATAAAGGGAAAAAAATACATTTTTAATTAAATTAACACGTATCATGTAATGATTGGTGTGTGAACACACTTGCTTCTTAAAATTTGGGGCTGATAAAAAAATGATATAATAATATATGTTCAAAATTGGTTAGTGGGGTAATAGGACGATTACAAAATTAAGATGTCTTTTTTAAAATTCGAAATAACTTCAATGGTGATTTTATGTGTTTTCTCTAGTTATAAATATAAAAGCTTTTTCCTTCTAATTTCTCCTCTTATCAAACCCTAGGAACTTATTTATTCACGCCGCACCCTCTTCTACTCAAAAGTCTATCACTGTAGCACTATTTGATCATTTTGATTGAAATCTTGCTGACTTTGATTATTTTAGTCATGAATTGTCAATTTGGGATAGTATCTTTTAAGTCATTTCTCTTCTTCATCAATTGAATGATAACTTTTTCTTTTTTTTCACTTATAGGTACAAAATTATTAATATTGGTCTTTAGTATTTACTAATCGAAATTTTGAATTTTCTTCAAAGAAATGAAATGAAATTTCAAATTTGGTCCTAGTTGTTTTTCAATTAAAATTCTATCCATTTGGAATTTTATCATAGAACCCCAATTTCAACAGTTGAATGCACACGAATAGTATTCGCTACTTCGATGAACTTGAAAAGGGGGAGTTTAAAATCATGAATTCTTCTAAGTTTAATGTTCTTTTTCATCTCTCGGTTTTCAAGTTCGAAAATAATTAGTCGATATAAAAAGAAACCTCAATCCATCATTTTCAACTTTCTAAGCTGCAAAAGATGATTTTCTATAATATTTTGGTACTTTCTCCATTCCATTTGCTTAAGATTTGGTATTAGTTTGACAATTAGCTATATTTATGTCACGATCCAAATGGTCGTGAGTGACACTCACACTAACTCTTCCGTGGGAGAACCAATCGAACCCAAGACTTAAACCTACTTAAGACCATTCAGAAATAAAATAATATTTGAGTTCAATTGAGTTTTTTATAAATAAATGTCAAATTCTAAATTAAAGTAGGATTAATTCAATATCTAAATAACTCTCCCAAGAACTAAATGTCGTCATCTAAGAACTTCTAACTAAAACAAGTCTATAGAAATGTCCAATATCTAACATTCTAACTAAGATAGGGTGTCTCAACGTCCGAAAGAATTGACAAGAGCTACTATAATCATTCACGGTAGCTTGAATACGGAGAGCGCACTCTTGAATCAAAGACTACTTCTCACGCTAGAATTGAGGTCTCGAAGGAATCTTTGGAGTATAATTTGCGCTCAACAAAAAAAAAGTACAAGATATTATCATTACAAACCACTATGTACTGTAGACATCATAGGCCGACTCAAATTAAAAACAAGCAACATGTAAACCAATAAAAAGTACACCAAACTTCAACATATAGAACAACTCACCGTCAACAAATATAAACCAAAAGGTAAATCATTTAATACTAGGGCACACAATCATCTAATCACTCAAATACATCATGAACTCTCACAACAATAATTCAATTATACATAGATGTTAAATGTCTTATTTATTTCAATAGCCATGACATGTAAGGAATCAACTTTGTCCACGTACCGTAACTTATAAGTTTTCATTGTGTCAATGTTTCACAATGACTATTTCATGACACCAATTTTTACTGTACCTCTCACAATGGCTATTTCAACAAATTTTGATCAAATTTTTTATTTGAGGTTTGATTTTGTGGAATTTTCTAACTATAGTGAATCGACAATTTTTAAAGCGTAGCAGTGATATAGGAGACTGAAATTGCATTAGATTAAAGTTTATCTAAATTTTTTTATAGTAGGTTGAGAAAAAGGGTAAAAAGAAATACCTCTCTACTTCTACTATTACTGATTATGTTTTTGGAGAACAATCTAAATACATAAATATTTCTATCATATTTACTAATTAACTCTATAGTTTGAAATAATTACATTTTATTTTATTAATTAATAATTTCATATCATATTTCAAGTAAGATACACCTAGATACATGTTTTTTGCTATCAGATACACTAAATAAGGAGGGAAGCGAGTAAGCTTTGTCTATGTATCTCAAATATATTCGTATATCAGATACATACATATATCTAATATAATTCATATGTATATGAGATACCAAATACGCATGCAAGATAGGAGAGTGGCGAACGAGATAAAAGAGGGGAGAATTATCTATTCCAGATATATGTGAATACACTTGAATACAATGTATCTAAAATAAATTATACCTAATTTTGACCCCATGTAATTCCAGAAATGTGTATCTAGATGCACCAAAATCCGATAAAATTCATTATATAACAAACTAATGTTATATCTTACCAAGTTATTGGTAACTTGTTCACATATACTCTACTCCCTAGATTTTCTCTTACTGGCTTGAACAAATAAACAAATCTTACGTTGTTGTCAACCTCTTCATTTAATTCTTTCTCGTTTGTAATGAATGAGAAAGAATTTGACAAGCAGATAAAGAGTTACTATCTTTCTTGCACCAAACATGCCCCATCAAAGCCAACTTCATTTTCAGAACTCGAACTTGAAACCCCTAATATATATAGCAGTTGTACCAACACAAAGCGGTTGAATCAAAATAAGCTCATATTAGCAAATTGAAAGTTGTATGCTGAATGGATATGTCATGGGACAAAAATAACGAACCTTTGAGATGACTTGTTTCGGATCCGTTTGGCAATTCTTTTCTTTCGAAATAATTTCACTTTATTTGAAAAATCAGTGTTTTGACTATGGAAATTTCAAATTTAAATTGAAAAACAACTTATAACCTATTTTTCAATTCACTTTCACTTCTGAAATTGTATTACAATACATTTAAGGGTAAAGGGTCAAAAATGCCCCTAAACTATTCGAAAAGGTCTAGCTATATCCTTTGTTTAAAGTTTGGTTCACTCATGCCCTCGCCGTCTAATTTTTCGTCTAAATATGCTCTTATGGGCGTTAGTTGGACATATCCAGCTCATTTTCCATTTCTTTAAATGTCACATGGAATTGCCATGTCATTTTGACTTTACCACATGACATTTATATGAAAATGGAAAGGGATCAATTATGCCTCTAAAAAATTCGAACCCATAAACACCTAATCCGGCCCATAAATCAACCCCCCCTTTTAAATAAACTACCCGATCTGTTTTCAATAATTTTGTTTAAATTTTTATCTTTTTCGGTAAATCCCGAAAATTAGTAATTGATTAATAAAAAATGGAAAATATGAAAAAATTATAAAATTAACGCAAAAAAATTCACAAATAAAATATTGTAACCTTAAATTCAACAATTTCAACATTTTAATTTTTTTCGGTAAATCCCGAAAATGAGTAATTGATTAATAAAAATATGAAAAAATATGAAATTAACGCCAAAAAATCACAAATAAATATAGTAACCTTAAATTCAAAAATTTCAACAATTTTTTTTAATTTTTATTTTTTTAATAAAATACTCATTTTCGGAATTTGCCAAAAAAAAAAAAAAAAAGTAAAAAAAAATTGTTGAAATTTTTGAATTTAAGGTTACTATATTTGTTTGTGATTTTTTGGCGTTAATTTTATATTTTTTATTAATCAATTACTCATTTTCGGGATTTACCCAAAAAAAATAAATTTTAAAAAAATTGTTGAATTTAAGTTTATAATATTTATTTGTGAATTTTTGGCATTAATTTTATATTTTTTTCATATTTTTCCCATTTTTTATTAATCAATTACTAATTTTCGAAATTTATCGAAAAAAATAAAAATTTAAACAAAATTGTTGAAAACGGGTCGGGTAGTTTATTTAGAAGGGGGGTTGATTTATGGGTCGGATTAGGTGTTTATGGGTTCAAATTTTTTAGAGGCATAATTGATCCCTTTCCATTTTTCATATAAATGTCATGTGGTAAAGTCAAAATGACATGGCAATTCCATGTGACATTTAAAGAAATGAAAAATGAGTTGGATATGTCCAGCAGACCAACTAACGCCCATAAGGGCATATTTTAGACGAAAAGTTGGATGACGAGGGCATGAGTGAGCCAAACTTTTAAACGGAGGGTATATCTAGACCTTTTCGAATAGTTTAGGGGCATATTTGACCCTTTACCCTACATTTAAGCATGGATTTTATTTCAAATTCTGTGCTAAAAATATAACAAATACAATTCTATCTTCAACTCAAACTCCACAAATTTTAGAAAGGCCTTTGACCATGATTTTTTTTTCCAGAACTAAACTCAAAAAAACACGTTTGATCATAAAATCTCGAATTTAACCTGTTGAATTCTAGAATTCTCAAATATTTGAAATCACCAAAAAGTTGTTTCTTTCTAAATTACTCAAAAAAATTCAAAAACAACTCCAATTTTCATGAGCTTTACAAAGTGAAAGATATTTGAAATTTATGATCAAATGCCTACTTAATAATTACCACAAAGTTAGACAAGTATTTTAGTATTATTATAATATTTTCTTATTCTTACATAATTTATAATCACAAAATTTAAAATTAACTTTTTACTTTTAAAATTTGTATTCAATCAATATTAAGATATTTAAAAAAAAATATGGTTGTATTTCTTTTTAGAATTTAGAAAACCGATGACACAATTTCTAGTTATTAATATTACTCTCTTTTAAAATTATTTTTTCTTTTAAGAAAATTGCAACAAGAACCAGTTTATCATATACTATACAAACAAACAAAAAAGACTAATAAATCGTATATTTATTCAGTTTTTTTTTTCTTCTGTTTTTTGTTTTTTTTTGTCTGACGTCTAATATTGAAGTGGACTAAAATTTGAATCGAATACAATAGGGCCTCAAGAGTGACACTCCAACATAATTATTTTGATAACCAAATTCGAACTCGAGACCGTTTGTTGATATTTATTCAGGTTATTGCTAAATAGGTCTTGTAAATTGAGCAATCAGTTATATCCTTGCCATCAAAATCTTCAGTTTACAAAAATGAGTGTCCTGCAGTGGCTCAAAGCCTCAAGAAGAGAAAAGATTCTTCCTTTATTGCAAGGTTAGTTCCCTCTCAATGAAATATCAGTTGGGTTCCTCAAGAAAATGAAGATTCTGAAACAAATTCGTAAGTTTTCAACCTTTATTGATTCAACCAAGCACACCCACCAAGTGTTTGTGAAATTGATAACCCCTAAACGAAGCAAATTGGACCCAATTCCGTTGCCTCACAGAACCATTTCTGATCCCAAAGGTCAAGATCTTGATTTTGTTAATGTAGCTCATAGTCATCTTATACACTCTGATTGGACTAAGCTTGAGAATTTGTCTTCTGGCCTAACCCCATTTAGAGTTAAGCACATTTTGCTGAAAATTCAAAAGGATTATGTTTTATCTCTTGAATTCTTCAAATGGGTTGAGGTTAAAAGTCCGAATTCGAATACCCTTGAGAATCATTCCATTGTTCTTCATGTTCTTACTAAGAGTAAAAAGTTTAAATCTGCTGAATCAATTTTGAGGAAGCTTCTTGTATCAGGTTCTGTTGATTTTCCTGGTAAATTGTTTGAAGCTATAGTTTTATCATATCGAATGTGTGATTCTTCACCGCGTGTTTTTGACTCATTGTTCAAGTGTCATGCTCATTTGAAGAAGTTTAGGAATGCTAGTGATACATTTTGCAGTATGAAGCAGTATGGGTTTGTTCCCACTGTTGAGTCTTGCAATGCATTCATGAGCGCGTTGCTTAGTTTTGATAGGGTAGATGTTGCATTGGCTTTTTATAAGGAGATGCGTCGGTCAAGGATTTCGCCTAATGTTTATACCTTTAATATGGCCATGAGTGCTTTATGCAAATCGGGAAAACTAGAAAAGGCTGTTGAGGTCTTAAGGGAGATGGAGAACATAAGTTTGAAACCGACAGCTGTGTCTTATAACACTTTGATTGCCGGACATTGTAACCGGGACATCTTGAGTGTTGCACTGAAACTTAAGACCACGATGGAGATGAATGGGGTACAACCAGTTAATGTTACATACAACACTCTTATTCATGGTTTATGCAAGGTAGGGAAATTACATGAAGCAAACAAACTTTTCAGCGAGATGAAGAGAACCGGTGTGGCTCCTAATGTTGTCACTTATAATACGCTGATAAACGCGTATAGCCAGGTTGGTAATTCTGAAATGGGAAGTAGGCTTTTCGAGGAGATGGCAAACAATGGATTGAAGGCTGATATCTTGACTTACAATGCATTGATTATGGGACTGTGCAAGGAGGGGAAGACAAAGAAAGCTGCATTTTTGGTCAAAGAACTTGATAAAGCAAACTTAGTTCCTAATTCCTCTACTTTCTCTTATCTGATCAGTGGACAGTGTACCAGAAGGAATCCTGATCGTGCGTTTCAACTCTATAAAAGCATGGTTAGAGGTGGTTTTCACCCTAATAAGCCCACTTTGACTCTATTGATATCCACCTACATCAAGAATGAGGATTATGATGGAGCAATGGAAGTCTTGAAAGAGATGCTAGAAAGATCTATTACCCCTGACTTGGGTATGTTAACTGAAATATGCAGCATGTTTCTCAGATGCGGCAGAGAAGGAGCGATCATAAAACTCTTACAAGAACTAGAAGCTAAACGCCTCATGCCCGAAGGTTTTGATAAAACAAAAGTGATTAGCTCTACAGACGGAAGATAGAATGTATTTTTTTAACAAGAAATAGAATCTAGACGCTCATGCCTGAAGGTTCCCAGCAGTCAGGTTTGGTCCTCCGGACAGCAACCCGGCTGGTATATACCCCACATAGGAAACTGGGCTGTGAGGTGAGTAACTATATTCAACAATCATTTGGCAACACCGTTCCTAAGCCCTTCTAAGTAAAAGGGGATGTTTTCAGTCCCAAGTAACTTTGTCAGTACTCCTTTTCATTCGACAGACTGAAGATAGAATGTAAGTTGTACTCACTTGTACACAACTTTGTTCCAATTATGCCACAACAACTGTAATTTTCGCTTTTTCTAAAAATCAATTACTCTGGTATCAATGAGCTCTTTCTTCATGACCAAAATGGTTTGCCTCGTCAACAATTGAAACTTGTTTTGCAAAGATTAGTCTCAACTGTTAAATATACTTCTAAAATGTTACCTGGACAATGAACATATGATAGTGTCAATGAGGATACAATTTTTTTTTTATATCATCTGTATCGAATAATTTATTTTCTTAATGAACAACAACAATTGCTCCTCAATCTAAGCTAGCTAGGATCAGCTAGACATGTATTTCTTGATGAAGTCAAACAAAAATTCTTTTTTGCCACATTGTTCTTCTATATGTTGCAACTGATATGGTATTTGCTAGAGAAGGTCGTTTAGCTGATTGTCAGATGACAAAGTGTTATATGATTCAATCTTATTCAATTCTACTTTTGTATTGTTTCTGATAGTCTTATTTGGCTGTTGTTCCAATAAATTCGGAACTAAACCAGTTGGCCTAGGAAATTACAATGTCTTCTAAGTTGTTTTCCTTATCCAAAGTTTCTATTCATGTGTTTTCTCTAAAAACCTTAGTTTACCCCTTCCTAATTCAGGGTGCTTCTTTCTGTCATATGGTGTGTGGAAAGAATGAAGCAAGCTCCAAAAGTTAAACTGATGAATTTATTAAAGATCTTGAATATTCTGCTGCCAACAGTAGAGGCATAGCTACTCAAGCCGTTGAAGTGTGCGAGAGTGTTTAAGTGTCTTTTGATGCTCAAGATAAAGAATGGGTATTATTTTTATTTATTTTTATAAGGTAAAGGTTTATTGACTAAGTACCAAGAAGGTACCAAAACCAAAATTTACAAAAGACTGCTGGGAATATCCATACAGTCAATTACAACATCTTCCTAGCAACTCCAAAAACACCATATATTGATCTATATTATCAATGAAACTACTTTTACCCCAACAAAACAAATTACACTTGTTTTTAACTCTAGAAATATGATCTTTTTGCCCATCAAAACAAGCTTCTATTTCTTTCTAGCCAGATAGTCCAGAATATGCGCAAAGACCGCAAAGGTATAGTTCTCCAATTTGCTTCAAAGTTTATGTGTTCTCTGGTGCCGCCAACTCTCCAATAATTCCTTCACACTCTGAGGCATGATCCAAGCAAATACTGAAGAAAAATTCCCAACATTGTCTAGCCATTCTGCAATGCATAAGAAGGTGATTCACAGTCTCCAACTCTTCTTCACAT